TGACATATTAGCTATCCTGAAGAATGTTCCATATGCATTTGAGAAGAATGTGAATTCTGCAGCTTTTGGATGGAATATTTTGCATATGTGAAGTCATTTTTGTCTTAAATTCAGTTTATGTCCAGTGTTTCCTCATTTATTTTCTGTCTCGATGATCTGTCCATTGCTGAAAGTTGGGTGTTAACATTCCCCTACTACTATTGTTTTGCTTTCTATACCTCCCTTTTGATCTATTAATGTTTGCTTTCTATATTAAGTTATTCCAGTGTGGGTTACATATAAATTCTCAATTGTTCTATCCTCTTGTATTGATCCCTTTATTAGTAAATATTGACCTCATTTATCTCTTTTTATAGTTTTTGGCTTGAAGTCTATTTTGTCTAATAGAAGTATAGCTAATCCTACTTACTTTTGTTTTCCATTTGCATGCAATATGTTTTTGCATCTCATTACTTTAAGTCTATGCATATTCTTAAAGGTGAATTGAATTTTTTGTTGGCAGTATGTAGTTAGGTCTTGTTTCTTTATTCATTGACCCTGTTTGTCTTTTATTTGGAGAATTTAAGCCCTTTACATTCAAGGTAATTTTTGGTAGGTAAGGATTTTGTACTACCATATTGTTACTTGTTTTCTAGTTGTTTTGTAGAACATTTCTTTCTTTCTTCTTCTCTTACTGCCTCCCTTTGTGTTGAGTGATTTTTCTCTATCAATATGATTAGATTTCTTGCTTTTTATTTTTAGTGTATATATTATAGCCTTTTGGTTTTTGCTTACCTTGAGCCTAACAAAAAAAAATCTTATTATTTTAAAAGGCTATTTTGAATTGATAAGTTAATTTTGGCCTGAAGAAAAGGAAAAACCCACTCTATTCTTTAACTTCATTACTCTTCTACATTTTGCATTTTTGATGTCATAATTTATATCTTATATTGCTTATCCCTTAACCAAATCATTTTAGTTGTTATTATTTTTATTTGCTTTGTTTTTTAACCTTCCTAATAGGGATATAAGTATTTCTTGACCCATGATTACCATGTTAGAGTATTCTGAATTTGTTTAGGTATTTATTTTTACCTGTCAGTTTTATAGTTTTGAACTTTTTTTGTTACACATTAAGATTATTATTTTTTCTTCTAGTTTGAACAACTCCTTTCAATATTTTTTGTAATGTAGTTCTAGTTGCAAAGGTTTTCTTCAGCTTTTGTTTATCTGGGAATGTCTTTATTTCTAATGAATAAATTTGCTCTATACAGTATTCTTGGCAGGCAGTTTTGTTGTCTTTGAATATGTCATCCCACTCTCTCTTGACCTGTGGGGTTTCTCCTGGTAACTCTCCTGTCAGGCATATTGGAATTCTTTTATGTGTTATTTGCTTTTTTTTTTTTTTCTCATGCTGCTTTCAGTGTTCTCCGTCTTTGACTTTTGAGAGAGTGGTTATATATGTCTTAGGGTTATCTTATTTGGATTGAATCTGTTTTGTTACCTTTCACCTTTCTGTACTTGAATATTTATATCTTTCTTCAGGTTGGGACATTTTCTGTTATTATTTTTCTAAATAAGCTTTCTTCCCCATTTTCATTTTCTATTCTCTTTTGAACACTAGTGACACACAGATTTGCTCTTTTGACACTGTTTCATAGAACCTCTGTGTTTTTCTCATTGCTTATCTTTTTTCTTCTCTGAATGTATATTTTCTGATAGCTCGTTTTTGAAATCAGTGATTCTTCTGCTTTGTCATTCTGCTATTGATGCACTTTACTGCATTTTTTCTTCCTTTCTTTTTTTTTTTTTTTTTTTTTTTT